CGCCTGCAAGTCCATCGCCACGCGGAAGCTCGTCCACCGCGACGACATCGAGGACGTGCGCCGGGAGGTGCAGATCATGCACCACCTCACGGGCCACCGCAACATCGTCGAGCTCCGGGGAGCCTACGAGGACAGGCACTCGGTCAACCTCGTCATGGAGCTCTGCGAGGGCGGGGAGCTCTTCGACCGAATCATTGCCAAGGGCCACTACACCGAGCGCGCCGCCGCTGCGCTCTGCCGCGAGATCGTCGCCGTCGTCCACAGCTGCCACTCCATGGGGGTCTTCCACCGGGATCTCAAGCCCGAGAACTTCCTGTTCCTCAATAACAAGGAGGACTCCCCGCTCAAGGCCACGGACTTCGGCCTTTCCGTCTTCTTCAAGCACGGTGAGTGCTTGATTTGACTGCATCCCTTCTTCCATATGGATCTTACCGTATCCTTTTAAGATGTTTGACTAGATGTGGATGTGGATTTGACTTTGACCCGATTGCCGGGCTGGACGGTTTCAGACCCAGCATTGTTAAAATAAGTGTCTATATATGGAAATGGCATTATTCATATCTGTCCATCCTTGTTGCGTGTTTCTGTATATGTTAGTATTTGGGGGTAGGGATCCAGCTTAACTCCAAAGTACTTGGACTCCAAGCTTGTTCGAAATGTGACATTGTGATGGCATTGTAGATTTGCATTGTTTATTCTTTAGGCATTGCATTACTTTAACCATTAATCGTTAATTGAAGGAAGCATAACGGATCGAACTTGTGTGAAATGCTTGCATTGCACACAATGGGAAATTACACCCTGATTTTGGTGGATAAAATTGGGATTGTTCACTTTGCAAAATGTTGGTTTCGTGGAGGATTTGTTGTGAGGCTTAGAAGCTTAGCCTTTTCTCTATATATTATCCCTCTTTGTTTTTGAACCTTAACAAGTGAAATGGTTTGTTTATTTGTATACTGACATGAGAATCCATGTTGGATGATGCAGGGGAGACGTTTAAGGATCTTGTCGGAAGTGCGTATTATGTTGCTCCTGAGGTGCTGAAACGGCACTATGGGGCAGAGGCTGACATATGGAGTGCTGGGGTTATTCTTTACATCCTTCTGTCTGGTGTTCCTCCTTTTTGGGCAGGTAATGTTTTTAAACATATCATTTCAGTCTTTTTTTCCCTTCTATCACTCTTACGCAATTGATTGTTTCCTTCACTTCATCGTTTACTTTCACCAGAGAATGAGGATGGCATATTTGATGCCGTCTTGCGTGGTCACATTGACTTCTCTTCTGATCCTTGGCCTTCAATATCTAATGGTGCAAAGGATTTGGTTAAGAAGATGCTGCAACAAGACCCAAAAGAACGCCTGACTGCTGCTGAAATTTTGAGTAAGATAACTGCTCTTCTCTTGCTTTGTATGTCTAGTTGTGGAATCATGTTTCATGTAGTAATTTAGTAGCAAATGGGAGCAATCATTCCTCCTAATTTCTTCCAAATTTTGTGCCTTTTGATATTCCCTCCGGTTCAAAATATGCTGTTTTAAGATTCCTGCTGGTCAAAGTTAATATAGATGTCATTAGATTTACCATGGAAAGCATCTTCAAAGTATTTAATCATCTTTATTTGAAATTTCATATTTTCATAGAAATTGTAGACCAAAGTTTCACCTAAATGACATGTAGTTTGTATCAGAGAGTACAAGAGTGCTAAAGCGCTGATAATAGTTATAATATTCCAGAGAAACTGATGATTTCTCTCTTTTATATCAAATACCCATCTGCTTTCTCTCTCTTTCTAAAAAAGGGACCTATATGCTTTCCACATGAACTGAGACACTGAGTATTCATTCGCAAGTGTTGTTTATCAGTCTAATATTGTGAGCATACAGACCACCCATGGATTAGAGAGGATGGAGAGGCCCCAGATAAGCCACTTGACATTACTGTCATCGGTAGAATGAAACAATTCAGGGCAATGAACAAGCTCAAGAAAGTTGCATTGAAGGTGATTGTCTGATTGACTTTGACTCCACAGCATTTATTCTTTTTCTAAATACTTGATTTTAAGGAGCAGATAATTCTAACATCTTCATTAATTTTAACCAGGTTGTGGCTGAGAACTTATCAGATGAAGAGATTATGGGCCTAAAAGAAATGTTCAGATCCCTGGATACAGATAACAGTGGGACAATTACTCTTGAAGAGCTAAGATCTGGTTTACCAAAACTTGGTACTAAAATTTCTGAATCAGAAATCAAACAGTTGATGGAGGCGGTATGTTCATCCTTCATATCCATATGCTTCGTCGTTTTTCTGTTGATGTGTAATTTTCTCACAGTAATTCTTTTTTCTCTTAACTATTACTATCCCAATTCCCGAATCACATCTCCCGGCTGGAAAACTGAAAGCAACTGTCATGGACTGCATTGGACATTTGACTCCACATTCTTTTCTTGTTTTTTTTTAACAATTATTTGAAAGGAAACATGGGGGGTAATGGACATGTGAAACTGCTATAGAGTATTAGAGTATATATCAAACATCTGGACATTGTTGATGGAACTATTGCAGTAGTTCAGCACATACCATTCTGTTTCTTTATTCGTGTTTTTAATTCCATGAACAGGCTGATGTTGATGGAAATGGTACCATTGATTATGCGGAGTTTATATCAGCCACAATGCACTTGAATAGATTGGAGAAGGAAGACCATATACTCAAAGCTTTTGAATATTTTGATAAGGACCACAGCGGGTAACTTCATTTTAACTTTGGTCAAACTTGTTCTGCAGCCCTTGACTGTTCCCATTTGATTTCCTCACTGTTTAAATCTTTCTGTACAGATACATAACAGTAGATGAGTTGGAAGAAGCTCTGAAGAAGTATGAAATGGGAGATGACAAAACAATAAAAGAAATCATTGCTGAAGTAGATACAGATCATGTGAGTATATATTTTACAGAGTTCAAGTAAAAGATTAGCTCTTATAAAAATTTAAATCAATCAACTGAAAAAACCCGCCCCACTGACATCAGTTATGTGGCATGTTACTTGTTGACTTCAACCACTTGCCATGTTCCTAGAATATAGAAATGAGTTCTTATAGGAAAAGAAGACCCCAAGATTTGACGTGGTGGGGGCTTGTGTGTTAAAACATGCTGATTAAAATATTTTTCGTATCTTATATACTATGGATGCATTCACATAGTAATGAGTTTTTTTAGAAAAAGACGCAGTAATGAGTTCACATTGGATAAATTAAACAATATCAAACTGGTGAACGGAAATTCATGGAGAGACTACCAATTTGACTCAGATTTGGTGATAAATTAGCAAATGTCCACAATCTCTACAAACCTTCTCAGTTAAACCTACATCAGGAATGTCAAAGACCAGTAACCCTTTTGCCTAGCTATAACTCAAAAGTTCAACAGAGGCTGCCTAACTCAATTTATCAGAGTGCTAACTTTTCCATTTTTTTTTCTTATTGGCAGGATGGAAGAATTAATTACCAGGAGTTTGTTGCCATGATGAGAAACAACAGCCCTGAGATTGTTCCAAATCGGAGGCGCATGTTCTAACTGTCATGTACAATTTCATTGAATACTTTCAAGAACAATCTGCCCGTAGACATAATCCTGGTCCCATTTTCTTTTTGGAACAGCCGTTAAGAAGACTCTGTAATTTGAGATCCATGTCTGTGCAGCCCGGACCAGTTTGTACCAAAATAGGGTGGTGTTATAGTGACCCCGTACTTAGATGCTTTGAGCATCATGGACTCATGGGTGGCAATGTTTATTCCCATTGTACGCCTTGGGGTTGTTCTGCTGCTTCGATCTGAAGCTTTCCTCAGTCCTCACCTTTCATTTTAGCTTGTCCTCTCAAGAGTGTTGCCACCTGTGAATTGTTATCATGTGTTGTGGTCCTCGTAATCGTTTATATGATTGCAGGCATTGTAAAATGGTATTCAGCGATCAGATCAGGCAATGTCATATTACTTCTGAATAAATATTAGCAGTAACATTCCCCCCCCAAAAAATATTAGAAGTACCGTGGTTCTGGATTGGCCTTGGTGAAATGCTGATCCATCCACGTAGTTCTTTTTTGGGTGAAGATGATTAGATGGCCACCCAAAGAATCATGCCTAGGCACCTGTTGTATGCTCTAAAAAGGTTTCTTAGGTGTAATTTTGACTTGAGTTTATTTCTTGGAGCATATTTTGACCTTTAGATTCTGCTTATCTTAGATTCTATTGAACTTTTTTCCCTCTCTCTCTCTCTCTCTCTCTCTCTCTCTCTTAACTTCTCTATATTTGACCAACTTTATAAAAAAACAAATACATCAGCATCTACACTATCTAATAAACACAATATAAACATATATTTTATGGTAGATTTAATGAATCTAATTTGATATGGTAAGTATTTTTCTATAAACTCGGTTAAAGTTAGATAAGTTGGACTTAGGACAAAATTAAAACAAACTAATTTCTACCTTTTGCGATGACAACATGTAATTTATTTCGTTATGATAAAACTTTGACCAATAATTACTTACAATCTATGTGATACAAAATCATAATCATATATATTTTCAAACAGAGTACACTGTTGTTTCCTTAAATTTTCCACGGGAGTAAACTGTTGTTTCCTTACATTTTTTTTCCACTTTGCACTTGAGCCAACTCCAGCAATACACATACTTTAATCAATTAATTAGATGGACCACCCACCTCGTATTTCTGGCTGGAAAAAAGTGTACTCCTTTTACATTCCGTATACACTGTGACTAGTGAGATGACACTAAAGTACAAAGCTATTATTGTATATATCCATATAAATCCATTGAGGTCATCAGTAAGATGACATTAAGGCTCAGATTGAAAGGGTATCAGAAAATGTTTTGTCTCTAGAGCACTAATATACAAGACCCAAATACCATGTACAAACATGTATACAGAGTTTCTTCCATGTCCTTAACACTTCCACATTGGTTTGGCTTGCAGTTGATCAACGAACAGAGACGTTTTTCATCTTTGCTGATTTGTGTTTGACAAAGAAAGCAGCTAGCATACTTTTTGTGCGAAGTGGAGCCTTCTGGATTTGCCGCCCTCTAGGGTTGTCCAAAGAACTGAATGATGACAAATGCCTGGTCGTGGGCTGATCCTGAAAATGCAGGAAATTGATTGGTTTAGCTTGGGAGCACATGATTATCCTCTATGATGAACATTTGCATTATCAAATAAATTGTAAGCTTTAATCTTTAAGCAAATGTTTCTATCATATTTTTTTGACATAACGGAAACTGGTCGATTTTATATCTTGTTGTAGGTTTACCTTCATTCCTACACTAACAATATCCATGCTGGTTATGTTGGACTGCACATTCCTGGACAAGGGAGACGCAGATGATTCCTTGCCTGAAACATAAGTAGCTTCAGATTAAGTATCTGCTGTCTACATATAGGCTATGCCAAAATCCACCAAATGAAGACAAACATAAAGTAAACATAAGCAATTAAATACCAAGGCGGAAACCGCTTGATGAAGGCTTAGTAGTTTTTGTTTCTCCTTGGCTGCAACAAAGCAGATGACAACAGTGTCACACAGGAAGAAGTATTAGGGGAGCAAATGCCCCATTTAGCAAGACTGAACCAGAGACATGTCTGACTTACGCAGATTCGGATTGATCTGGTCTATTAGTTTGGGAATTTTTCTCGGAAACCAAATGCCACTGAAGGGTCCTTGCTGCAGGGGAAAATGTTTTGTTTTAGTGCACCAAGTGCTTAATACCAAAATTGCAAATGTTTGCACAGAAGGAAGAACGAAGCTGCACCTGAAGAGTAAGGCCTTGGCGTTGAGTCAAAATCAGCATCGGCTTGCATATCAGAAAACGCCTGCATTCTTTTATTTCCCTCATCTAGCTCGGAGAAAAAGTCAAAAGGTTAGCTAGTAGCTACGCATTTACCATTTCCTTCACTCTGGAATTGCATATCTATTGAACAAACCCTTACATGGTACGATGTAATGTTTATGGTGTCTTCTGGCAGCCCCCGTCATCTGCTGTTGCCTAACGCCTTCTTTATCCGTGTATGTCTGGCAGGTAAGGACTTGCTAAACATTGAACCATCAAAATGTCAGCTTTAACGATATATTGCACGACGACAACAAATTCCTGTGTTATGGCAGCAGTGGTACCTGGTTCAAGCATGCTACTTTCAACTCGAGTGTTGATATTTCTGAAGCCTGCTGTTCGTATAAGTCTGTCAATTTGTAGGCCACTGTGCCAAGATGGTCGACAGCGTTGACCAGGGCCCTGACAGCGTAATCCTTCAAGTTGTCCAGCACCCTGATATCAAGAAGCAATGGGAAAATGGATGAGAGAATTATTAAATAAATGGACGTGTTCCACTTCAGCACACTCATTACTTTGCAGAAAGTTCAGTTTAGCAGGAGGGCAAGGACCCCGTCTAGCACCACGAGAAAACAGCACATACTTGCAGTGCCCTGTGTTCTTCTATAGCTATGGAGTCACTTTTGCAGTGCCCCTGTGTTCTTCTATATCTATGGAGTCACTTTTGCAGTGCAGACAGATACTAGACATCCATTGGGACTGCAATTCCATGGAGCACGAGATACTACTAGGTGCAGACGTGCAGGTGCAGTGCAGAATTCAGGACCTCCAAAAGAAACTAAAGTAAACAACCCGAAAACTCCAAAATTTTACTTCTGCAAAACCCTGTCAGCCATGATAACCTTTTACTTTTTCATAATGATGATGTCCCAAGTCCTTTAATATAAAATCTCCATAATCAATTGATGTACTTTGCATACGCCCAGGTTTTATAATCTCCATAATCAACTGATGCACTTTGCATTCGCCCAGGTTTACTTCCTAGGAAGAGGCAGGTATAGTGGTATACCCCTGGCCCCCTGAACTAATCTCCATAATCAAACCTACTGCTCGTAGACTTGTAACACCAAATGAAAGAGAGAGAGAGAGAGAGAGAGAGAGAACACTATCGGAACGTTCAAGCGGCCGGTGCGGGACTAGGAGCAACAGGTAAACAAATGTTTGCCAATACTTGCTAGGAGCTTGAATGAATTATTACCGGAAAGAAAATCATTCATTGATTTGGTTTAGAAAATCGCACGGACGTGGGAATTCCGGGAGAAAAGGACAAGAGGGATCTCGTCTCACATTTGCTTCTGTTCGCTGTGGAGGTAGGACTTCTCGCAGTACTCCGAGGCCGAGTAGAGCTGCGGCCGCAGGTTCTTGAGCTCCTGCATATCACGGGCGGCGATCGTAAGCTAAGCGCCCAAACAAAGCAAGAATCGATCGAGTCGAGGGCAGTCCAGGCTCCCGGGAGACCCGGATCTTCGCACACCAATTCGATCGAACGAGAGAAAAGAAAAACGAATGAATTAGTTAGTGGAAAGCAGGATCAGGTCGGATCCGTGCGGGGCACGGTGACGGCGCGCCTGACCTGAAGCGCCTTGACGAAGCTCTTGCTGCGCTCCATGGACGCCTCGTCGACGGTGGTCGGGTCCATCCCGGCGGGCTCAGCGCCAGGCCGCCACGGCTCGTGTTGCATCGCCTCTGCCCTCCCCTTCCCCTGAGCCCTGACCGACACGCCGCCGCCGGTTTTCTCGGGGCGGGAACGGGACGGATACGGGGGAAGCGGAAGTGGCAAGGCACGTGAGGACGAAGCAAGGAACACGCGACGCCTCTCGCGCGGCTCCTCTTGCTTTGCCGGGATTCCCAGGTGTAGCGAGCGAGTGCCGAGTGGTGTGTACTGGCGGCGAAACGGAACGGTGACGTCTCTCTCGGTGCAGGAGTGGGACTGTGGAGGCGGGCAGGTAGTGCGGTGAGGTGAGGTGGGCGCGGAATCGGATGGCGACGAGGTGGTGGTTGCCGGTAAATTTTATGGTAGAGTAGGAGTGGCGCGGCGGCAAGATTTGATTGGCGGGCGGGTGCCGGACGATGGATTGGGGGAATCCAGTCCAGTGGAGTCAGTAGCCTGATCACCGTTCCACTCGGTCGATCAGGCTGTCTGCTAGTGCTAGTATACTTGCCTTGGTGGTGGTGTGCACTGGTGGATGGGTCTTGATTCTTGCGGCCGGGCCGCCGTGTCTCCGTCGCGTGGATGATGTCGTCCGTTCGTTCGGCCGTAGCTTTTGCCGCTTTTTCTGGTTGTTCCCAGCTACCCCCCCGTCCTCTGCTGTTCATTCTTTATGGTTGGTACACTAACCTGCTTGGAGTAAGTAGGAGTAAGCAACAAACTTTGCAGGTACAAGCAAGTTTGTTATTATATTAATATAATGATGAGTTAATGACTAATGAGGCTCATCAGGCCAACACGGTGATGCTCCTGGTTACGCACACCCGACACCACTGTGGTGTCGAAGAATTTACGGGTCTCGCGACCAACGCGGATCTAGAGCGCGCACTGGTTTCAGATAAATTCTGCGTCAGGGAGGAGAAAATTTCAGAGAATTCCGTGCTTAGCGAAAAGGTCAAACGATGCAGCACCATCAAGCCCGCCGCGCATTGATGAATGACGGCGATGCCGATACGATTGCATCTGGATAATGAGGTCACTGGATCACGTTCCCCATGTGCAAACTGCAGCCTCCCGGGTACCAAGCAGACTTCAATCCAGAGATCAGGGAACCAGAACCGTATGTGTGTCAAGTGTCAACTAATCAAGCAAGCCGAGGAGCGGTCCTCATGGCCCATCCGAGTTCTTGACTGTACGGCCCATTTGAAAATAGGAGCATATGGATTTCATAGAAATGGTACATATATTTTATAAAAATCAGTTCATTTTTTTTATAAAAAAACATAGATAGTAAATAACGTCCACATTCAAATGTGGCCTTACTATTGAAAATATAAATTGTCTTAGGTTTATATCGTCCAAGAGCCAGCTTGGAACCTCTGAGACCCAATTTGAACTTTTACCATAGGTTAGAAGAATTATTTCTCACAAAGGCTATAGAAAACCCCGTTGAGAAATCTCTACAATTAAAAAGGTTTGCACGACAACCTTTGCCCCACTTAGTCAAACGCCTTCCTCAATTTGATTTACACCGAGACACAGACTTGTGGACCTTTTGTCGTGCATCCCCCGCCCTCCTGTAGAGACCCTCCTTTGTGCTTCTCCTTTCCCTTTGCTGCATCCTTTCCTGGCCACCTCGCCCCTCTCAGTAATCATGGCCAATCATCGATAATCACATGAATCACATTGTCCAATCTTTTTCATGATCATTCGATCTTAGCCCTTGTTTAGTTCACCAAAACTCCCAATTTTGACACTATGCAAAAAAAAGATTCCCTATCACATCAAATTTGCGGTACATGCATGGAGTACTAAATGTTGACGAAATCAAAAACTAATTGCACAATTTGGTTATACTTTGCGAGACGAACGTTTTGAGCCTAATTAGTCAACGATTCGACAATTATTACCAAATAAAAACAAAACGCTGCCCTACGCTTGATGGACTCCGAATCAATAGCTTCTTATTAACGATTGCCCCGCTTGATGGACTCCGTGCTTCTTCCCCTCTTTCAAGATCATCCACGAATGCCTTCGGATGCCTAGGAAGCATAGTCGCCAATGCTAATCCTCGTTGGCATCTCCCTCCAATCCACGGGAGCGCGAGGAGTCCTCACCGTTGCTAGTACCGATAGGTGTTCAACTGCTCCAATGCATTCATTGTGTCATGGGATTTCCGTTTGTGCAATTCCCGTATGAAAGTATCCATAGCCCATCAACCAAGAGCACCTCGCCCCCATGACAAGCAATCGCAATCCTTGCCCACACCGACCGGGCAACAATATCCCACCATCTTCATTGCTCATCCCTTAGGGACGCCCTCATCCTTTTTTTAACATAAGCAGCAAGAGCCCTGCCTTTTCAGTTAAGGTGAAGAGAGTGATATGTACATATAAAAAGGCAAGGGTCCAAAAGACACTTGACATGCGAGCCCACTAGCCTAGAGAAAAATTCACACTAAGAAAATTACCTTCTAAACTAAAACCCCCAAACGACAACTAAGGGGTTGCAGACAGTGCAACCTTTTGTGGAGGTCCAGGTTTTCTTTGATCCGTCTGGCGACTTAGAGGGCCATTGAATGATTGTTATCAAAGATCCTGCGGCTACGCTCTTTCTAAATGTTCCACATGATGTAGATGGCTATTTCATTGAAAGCTCGCTTGCGTTCTTTGGGGACCAAACCTAAGGTGTTCTCCCACCATTCTGCTATGGTGGTAAAGTTAACACGTGTGTTGTGTCCAACCCATCAAAGTGCTCCGATGATGCGATTTGGTTCCAGACAAAGAGGCAAGCAAGGCGAATATGGTAACCGGTCTCTAACGGATCGGACCATTGCATAGAGTTTAGTTCTTGTTGTGTGGCCATCCTTGGTGGGCAGGGTTGTCTGTCACGAGGATTTTGTTTTAGATGAGAAAATGGATATTTTGCATGTACTTTTCGTATGTGCCCGTGAAAGGTCCTCATGGCTAGAGGGGGGAGGGGGGTGAATAGCCTATTAAAAATTCTACAACAACACTTAAGCCAAGTGGTTAGATAATTAAATGGCGAAGCGAGTGTTGCACTAGCCTACTCAAAATGCAAGCCTCCTATCCACAATTCTAGTTAACTAAGATCTCTATGTCACACAAGAGGCTAAGTCACTACTCTCTAAGTTAGTGAGCTCTCAAAGACTAACTAAAGAGCCTCACTATTGGGGTTATAACCTCGGGGTGTCTCAACGCATTGATTAATTAGCGGGCTGAGCGGTCCCACGATACATCAGCTATCAAATGCCCGAACGATCGAGGCCCAGCTGGGCCAAGTGAACCAGGCCAAACGCCATGGCCAGGGTCGGCCATGACCTCTCCCTTCACTAGACTTAGCCACACGACGCGCAAGAGACTCACGACCTCCCCACCGCTCCGATCCCTGGGAGGAACGGGAGGGGTCGAGCTTGACCAAGCATGCCAAGGATAAAGCACATCACTCTGACTCCACAAGGACCAAGGGGACAGCGGTCACCTCGGTCCGGTCAGACGCCATCCCTCGCCATGCAGCTCGGACAAGACAACACCACCTAAGGTGGTGACGGCCGTTACAATACCCACCGTCCAAATACGGTCCAACAAGACGCATGTACGATTCTACCCACTACGGGATGGGATCCACGACGAAGGCCTTGACTTAGAGGCCATCCAGACCGATGGGAGCCACGGCCCTAACAATCAGGATCGTGGCCTTCAGCTCTTCAGGCCAATAAGGCAATAGACGATCCGAGGGTGGCTACCAACTCCTGTACGACGCCCCAAGAAACCAGGAGGCGATGATGAAGACCATGGCGAAGACCACATCGCGCAAGACGGCTGGTGAACCACCACCGTGCCTATAGTACCGCCACGATCGGCATAGTAGCACCATGTCACACCATGCCGCGACGTGGCCACAAGATCATGATGACAACCACGCCTGGACGTGCACCGCAAGACGGCGTAGCTTGCAAGCCAAGTTAGCTAGGCCCTTCCTTAGGCTCACGACCCTTCGGTCGGGAGAACCTTCCTCTTTGTAAATGTCCTAGCCCCGAACTCTATATAAGGGCAGCCAGGGCATCCTTCTGAGACATCCTCTACCATTTTATTCATTCTCCATCGTAGAAGGGCTCCTCAAGCTTCCCTTCAGGCAGCCCGTCTCCTAGCTCTAGATCTCTTACCTCTTCCACCATTCTTGCACCCCTCATTGTAAGAACTTCAGAGCATTCAAGTGAGGAACATGCACTCGATCATCTCTGAGACTGGACGTAGGGCTCTGGCCTAAACTAGTATAAATCCTCGTGTCTTTTGGATGCTACCATCGTCTTCCTACAACAACGCGGCAATCATATAAATTTACTAGTCCGATTTACAAAACACTGACAGTTGGCGCGCCAGGTAGGGGACAGTTGTGACACCCCAGGTGTCAATTTCAAGTTAAGCGGTGAATTAAGTCTAATCTAAACAAATCAAAGGATGATTGTGAGCTTTAGTTTAACACCTGACAAGTGGTGACAGAGGTGGAGTCAAATTCTTTCAAATATGACCTAACTTAAACTTTTCAAAGGCAAAGACAAAACTCTTTTGTTCAAAAGTAAATTTTATTTCAAAATATCATGTCTTTTCATGTGCATCACCTAATCATGAACATATTTTGGTTACATGAAAAGTTGCATGTGGTTTTTGGTTCAAAAATTTATAAGAAATGATAATTTCCACTTTGCTTAAAAACACTTTTGTTAATTGAGTAGAAACTTGTGAAGTTTCATGTGTTGCTTTGTAGTGTTTCTGTCGACAGAATATCATCGGCAGTCCTTCGAGGGATATCCCACGAAGGTAGATTGATCGATAGAGAGGCGTGTAATCAAGAACAAGAAGGCAACAGAGACACACGAGTTAGATAGGTTCAGGCCGTCAGTATGACGTAATAAGCTACTCCTGTGGTCTATTGGATTGTATTGGCTATCGTATGATATTACGTAAGTT